AAAAACTTTATCATCAATACGGTAGCAATGTTTTTCAAGGTAATATGCCTAATTAACATTGCGAAAATACCTGTTGCTTCGTAATTATTAAAAACTCGGGTAACCATGGAATTATACAGAGTGACAATAAGATAGACAAAGATAAACGGTAAATTCAACAAAATTCGTTGACTGCGCAACGTACTTTCGACATGTCAAGCTGTTCTCATAACCTCGAATTCTACGGGGTTTGGTGTTTACATAAATAATCCATACAACACCAAACATATGAATGGTTAACTCCCAGCAAGCTAGTGCCTGTGTAATCTTATTATCCACTATTATCAAACAGCTCCTCGTATTCAGTTAATTAACTCGTGCTCCATTTGTATCTCCTTGTGCTGTGTGTATCGTACAGACGTGGTAGGAATGTAGCCCTATTTCGCTATTTATTTGGTGCTTGGGAAAGTGTCAGTTATTGTGTTCTGCGTGCTCCTGGAAGGCCCTGATTCGATTATGCCCAATACTTCGATACCAGAATATCGATTGTCGTCTACTATCTTCCTGGAACCACTCTCCTCGCCCTTTGTTGGCGTGAGTTCTTTCAGTTTCTGCCATATTACTGTAGCATTTCCCCCGAATTAATCGCATATCCGCAAATTCKTGAAASGAAATTCAAAGTAAGTCACAGTTTGACAAATTATTGTTTTTATTGACAAGGGTTATCCACCTGTAACTCTGTTAATGATAGAAAACATCATTGCCGCTGTGATTTTTCATCACAAAATTGTAGATGAGAACTTTTTTATATAAAAAATTTTCGTAATTTGAAGCAAAGAGCGTAATTTTTCCTTTTGAATGCTTAAGTATTCCAATATGCTACCCATTAAACATGGAACAATTTCTAAATAATGCTTAACAACAAAGTTGAAATTTGGTTTGGTCTTCAACTGTTAATTTCTTCTAGAAATTTTCGAAAAAAAAATTTTCAATATTTTTCTCGTACTCCTTGAGTTCCGTAAGTGAGCCTTTATCACCCCTTAAAAGGAATGACGCCAATTTTGAATCACCCTGTATATGTATTCACATTACAAGACATTTCCATGGCTGAGAATTTCGCCAGATGGTGTCCTTAAAAATAAAAAACCATATAGGTTTTTTTATCATTTTTAATTGCAGAGGGGAAGCTAATTCTTAAATCATCACTCGTTCCTTGAATTTGTTTATCGGGCTTTCACAATGGCCCCACCCTTGCTCACCTCATGGAACTCACGCTTGTCACGAAATGTTGTTCTATGTTATTGATAGCCCTTTAATTCACATGAGCTAATAAGTCTCTTCTTCTAAACCTGTCCATGCTGCAGGTAAATTTCTGAAGGGCTTGAATTAACCCCATATATGTTTGTAACCACAACTTGACCACTTTTTCTCTATGGAAAGTAATGAAAAATTATACTTCTGTCTACCTTTATTCGTTTAACAGTTTGTATTATAAACAGTATTCTTAACCACGATAATTTTCCTCATATTCGCAAAAATCTCAACATAAACTAGACACTCACGTTCCGCTTGGTTACCAAATGTTACCAAATCTGCCATATTTGTTAACGTCTGTCAGTGCACCCGAGTCCACCATCCTTTTTCAAGTAGCTGTCTTAGTATAAACAGTTGGTCTATTGTTGATCTGTATGACCTAAATCCGGCTAAGTATTCGTTCAGTATGATTTCCGCATATGGGGTTAATCTGTCCAAGATAATGTTTTATATGCAGTCTTCATTAGGGAGGTTCCTCTGTAGTTGGAGCATTTAGCCTTGTGCCCTTGTTTGTGGATGGACACGACACTACTTTCCTCCCATCTTGTGGATATGATTTCTTCTCGCCGTATTCGTACTTCTCGCACGTATATTCTACGTGCACACCGACCGAGCTTCTTGAGTGATTATCTCGAAAACGGTGAGAGATATCGACTTCGAACAAGTGCAAATGTTTTGTTTAAAAAATATCGTAGAATGTGATTTGACCAACCGTATGACCATTTTTGAAAAGCCAAAAAAGTTCTGATGTCTTAAATAACTCCATACTATTGCAGCTCGCGCCCTCTAGCAACTACAAGCCAACCAATAGGGAATTTGGATTTGACAATCTAAAGAAAACCCCAAACACAAAATTTTTGTGGTACTAGTAAAACTGGTTAAAAATATATTCAGAAAAAACGAAATTTTTATTTACACTTTGACACTGTATGTCGGAATCTATTAACTTTCGGATAAGACAAATTTGCCTGAAACGCAATATTTTAGCCTAAACAATATGTTAGTGAATTTTTCGACATTAGTTGAGGACCACCCTGTAGAACGCGATTTTTTAGTGCCCTCAGCTGTGGAGAACCTTTTCTTGGGACGTTACAGGTTGTATTTCCCACGGATTTTCTTTCATTACACTCATGCTGATGTTGGATACACCGGTAATTAGAAGAGTGAAAAAAGTCAAAAGAAAACAATGATCACGTGAGATTAATCTAGCTCTTAGCGGATTTTCGCTTTAGAGTTATATTATGGGCCGGATTTCGGGATTTTTTGTTTTATCTTGGCGAATTGTTGAAAAACTGACCAACCGCTTCGCTTTAGTACCCGAAAAAAATCCTGGAACCTTTCAAAAATTTCCTATTAAAGTGAGGTTTTCCTCATTTAAAGCCGCATATTTTCTCTTGCGAGTGATTTTTTGGGCAGGTTTGAGAATTTTTTGTTATTTCCTTGACATTTTTTTAAAATTCGTCTATCTATATCAACGGCCAATCTCTCCCCCTTAGTAACTGAAAACATCCTGGCAATTCCCAGAAATTTCCTAATCAAGTGAAGTTTTCCTCACTTAAAGCAACCGATTTTCTATTTCGAGTGATGTTATGGGCCGCTTTCAGGAATTTTTGGTTTCTTCTTGGCAAGTTTTTCAAAAATCAGTGTTGTCCAACAACTAACTCATCGCTTCGCTTTAGTATCTGAAAATATCCTGAAAACTCCCAGAAAGTTTTTATTAAAATGAGGTTTTCCTCATTTAAAGCAGCATATTTTCTTTAGTGATATTCTGGCTAGGCTTGAGAGATTTTCTGTTTTTTCTTGGCAATTTTTTAAAAATCCGTCTGTCTATACCAACGGCCAATCGGTTCCCCTTGGTAACTGAAAACATCCTGGAAACTCCCAGGGATTTTCTAATCAAGTGGGTTTTCCTCCCTTAAAGCAGCCGATTTTCCCTTTCAAGTGATGTTATAGGCCGCGTTCAGGAATTTTTGGTTTTATCTTAACGAATTTTTGAAAAACTCGTGATGTGCACGTACCCTAGAGTTGTTAAATTGTTTACCTCGTGTCATGCGGGTAACTTGTCCGAGCCAGGTGCCGTGTCGTTTTTTAACTTGTTTAAATCATTTTGGGTTTCTTCAACGCATGGTTCTACAACGGTTACCGCTACTATAATGTAGGTGTCTTCCGTGTGAGATTATTTTTATTTTGCGTTCAGGAGCTTCTTAAAATATCCCTTCCATTCTTCAATTAGCTTTGTTGATCAGCTCAATTGATATTTGATTTAGCAAATTGCCTTGTAGAATTCTCTGGAGCCCATATCAGCTCCGTCTGTTTCTATTGCTTTATGCTTTTGTCGTTCGTACTCTCTTTTCTTTGCTCTCAATATTTATCTTGTTTCCTTCCGACATTCCACGTATTTCCTGCTACTTTCATTGATCTGAAATTGCATCATTCTCAATTAAATTCTTATTTTCGTTCTCATTCTCAATTTCGTTATTGTTCATCGTCAACAATCTTAATGGACAGTAGATACAAACACAGTTACAATCACAGTTGTCGTGATTGTGATGTATTTGTGAGTTGATATTCTAAAGCGAATTCTAAGATTATAATTTGATATAACATTTCTGTATACAATAGAAGTAGTCATAGAAAGTCAACCTGGCCCAAAAAACAGGCATGAAAACGCAAATTTAAAATGCTATACTTACGAATATATTTTATTTATTTTTTAAAATGAACCAAAGTCACCCCGCTGGATTAAAGTCACCCGAATTTACCGTGCTAACATATAGTGGGTTTTTCATACGCTCTAATTTTTGGACGGAATGGCGAATGAAATTTTATTTATTAAAGTGATTGAAGTACATGAATTGCAGATGGTACCCGTGATCTAAAAAGCGCATATTTCGAGTAAAATAATTGATGTGCAAACTTGGAAACAGAACAGAGAAAGTTAAATTTTACATCTTTAAAGTGGTGTCAATCAGAAATTTAATGTCGACCACTTCTCTACGGCGCAATTACAATTTAATAGTACAATTTAAATTTAGAAATGGAAATACGAATATCAAGTAATTGCTTTAAAGACCAGCATTAGTGTTGTCACTAATGACCTTTCTGCGCTTTACCATTCCGACTATTACCAAAAGTAATAGTCGGAATACAGAATACAGAATACAGGAATACAGAATGTCTCAAAAGACATTCTGTATCAGTTATTTCACGTTTTTGTGTGTCTATAACAGCGCTATATTCTATCATTGCGCAGCTAGTCTATAAGACTCGCCACAAGTTCTGTGTGTGTACTTACATTATTTTAGGGTATTTGTTACTTTGTTGTAATGTAATCGTCGGTAATAAACGGTTTGTTTGTTTAATTACCGAAGTAAACTTTACAATCGGGTGTTATTTTCCATTTTAAAATTAATTTTTGAGCTTTATTCAAGACACTCGAAAGAGTTATAAAAAACATAATAAATACGTTTGTAAGTAAAGTTTTTTTTATTTCTACTGTAAATATACTATCAATCTTTATTAATTGCAATTAATCGTTATTTATCTGCAAATGTTATATAATGACTTTGATTTCGCACTCTTTCAAATGTCATAATGATGTCTATTACCGCACTAATGGTTTTAAAAAATATTACCGCACTAGTGCCGTAATAAATATAACGATCATTGCCAAAGTTGTTTCTTAAAATTGTTCATTTTTAAATAAGTTCAAGCGATGATCTGCCATGTGATATTGAGAACGAAGATTTTAATGTTGTTTCGGATCTTCTGCCAGGGAAACCACGGAAGAGCTCCAAGAAGCTTTTGATCGGTACCAGAAATGGTGCAGTAAGCGAAAGATACACACACAAGAACATCGAACACCAAAGGGACGAGGGTTTCTGTATTTTGCTTACTTTGCTAAAATATACTAATAATCCTTTCTCGCTTGTTAAGTTGAGTATCTTTAATTCACTGCACCATTTCTGGTACCGATCAAAAGCTTCTTGGTATTTCTTCCGTGGTTTTCCAAGCACAAGATCCGAAACAACATCCATAAAAGCTTCGTTCTCTAAATCACATGGCAGATCATCACTTGAACTCATTATAAAATGAGTAATTTTAAAACACAACTTTGACAATGATTCTGATGGCAATGACAATTTTCCATTACCGGTGTTCTGTATTCAATTTTATAACTAATTATTTTTACTCAAATAATCATTAAAATAATAATTGTTATAGTTGTAGATAAAACATTGTACGAAGGATATTATATTATTAACGCACTTATGTGATCACACTTAACGCACTTATGTGCAAATCTTCACATGCGTGCGTTAATACAAATTATCATATACTATCAAATTAATCTGAAGTATTTTACGAAGAAAAGGTACTCTAAATGTACTTCGCTCAGGCGCACCATTTTCCACCTAAATGGCTTTAAAAATATCACAGTTATCCACACACATTTTATATTTTAAGTTAATGTTATTATCGACACTAATTTATTTTATATTATTATCGACACTAACTAACTTTCCATTTTCTTGAATACATACTCTGGATTTTTTCCTAATATGTTAGGTGGCACGGATAATTTCAAAAGGGGTTAGTTTTATTTGATTTCCGGCCGCGCAAATCCGCCGTAGAAGCTCTTCTGGGCTATCTACTTCTGTGGCATAAATAATATTTGACAAATTACCCCACAGATAATAATCCAAAGGATATAGATCAGGCGATCGAGCTGGCCAGTTTACTGGGCCACCTCGACCTATCCACCTGCTTGGAAAATGTTGGTTTAGCCAATTTCTCACAGGTTGGCCAAAGTGGGCTGGCGCCCCATCATCAGCTGGAAGAACATTTCTAACCGAGCGCTTATAGGAATATTTTCTAACATGGACTAACAAGGCCTAAAGGGTCAAAGATTTTTTAACTTTCTGATAAAATAGGCCGCTTAGTAACACATTTTACATGCGGTAGTGGTTTAACCATGAAAATTACCTTGTCATTAGGTGGAGACCATATTAAACCAAGTGTATTTTTACCATCATTTTCACAAAACTCAACAATCTTCGAATGGTTGTTATCATTGGGAATAAAATCCAGAATATCACAGATATTAGAATAAAACTTCCTCAAATAAAAACCACCTTTTTTCACTATTGCGAAAACCAGTGTGCTTATGCGCTTTAGATTCGCAATTGTTTCAGCACCTATTAGTCATCGACATAAAAATCAGATTTTATTATCTGAGCGATATCTGGATGGTTTTTTTCACTATCGGTCGCCAACTGGAATAAACACCTAATTGCCAAAAAAGAAGATGATGCTGTGCCATAAGTAACTGTAGTTAACTCATAAGTATCCAGAGTGTCCTCAGGATTAAAACCCCAAGATGTTCTTTGCAAAGATTCGGTGAAACTAGAACACACCTGTACGAGTACATCTTAGAACAAACAGCAGCAACTACATAATTATGTTGCCTAAAACGAATTAAAATGGAAAATAGGTCTCGCTGAATTGGTGAACCAACCATTTGAATATTATTTAAAGAACACCTAGTGGAACTTGGCAGCAAAGCGTTAAAGACCGCGCGAAGACTAGTTGAATGCAGTCTAACCCCTTAGTCTTAGTCCCCACACTAATTTGGAAATAGGCAAAGTACCGGTAATCTTTGGAACAACAAAACAATAAATTTGGAGGAAAATGGGCCAACAAACTGTATTGACATTTTGTCATTATTGTATCTTTTTTCTAAAAGATCCCAAGCCACTTGATAGTTATCTGAGGAAAAGTCCACAGAAGATATGATCTGTAAAGGCTCATTTTTTAAAGATGCACGAAGATAATGAAATCGTTGAATATCCGAAATCGACTCATTTTTGCTAATAAGTGAATCAAACACATTTTGCCAATTTTCTAAACTGCCATCAAAAGTAGGCAAATGAATGTCCGGAAGGTTAACACTTTGTAAAGGATTATTATATGCTGAAACACTAGATTTGTTTAAATCATCATTAACTGCAAACGATTTATTGATATGCAAATATTTTTTAGCTAAAGAAATTTGAGCATAGTATTTGTCTTCGAAATCATACCTTTAATGATACTCTCTTTCTAACTCACCTTCTTTACAGGATGATTCAATTTGATTTTGAACGTGTAAATGTTTTCAAGTAAACTACCTTCAATACCCATAATTCTAGTCTCAAGTTCGAGAATATCTTTGGGCAAAATATTAGTTTTATCTTTCAAATTGTCAAGATATTTACTAAAATGTGTTAGGCTTGCCTTAACATCACCTCTTTGCCTTCTAAATGAATCCATTTCAAACGTGCAATATGCAATAAATATTACAACGTGAATAATAAATGTGACAATAAATTAACCGTTATGAAGCGATTATTAGTAAAGTGTCCTATACTTTGCTGTGACTTTTTGCTTTTTAAATGGTATTCCTTTTTCTTGGTCTGTTGCAAGCGCCGGTGCTAGCCATAAATTACTCCTAAAGCTAATTTTCCTTTTCTACTGTCTGGTTCCTTGTCTGTTGCAAGCGACGATGCAAGCCATAAAAATCTCCTGAAGCGTAAATTCAGTTTCCACTTGGGGCTGCTGAGCACACTACAACAACTCTCCAAAAACTTAGCTGATTACCAAAATCCGGCTCGAAGGACCATGTAAATAGTTTATTGAAATTCGAAACTATTTTGCCATAAAGAATAAACTGCAATAAAACTTCACACAAGTTGGATTACATTGGATTCTTTTTCGTTGACTTTTCTTTTTCCATGCAGCCTGTCTATCTACCAGTCTTGTCCACTGTCAAAACTTTTCCCTGTCTCTATAACAATATTGAACTGAACATAGATAGGCCTTTTCGGGTTAATATCATACAGGGTGATTCAAAATTGGCGTCAATCCTGTGGAGGTGTTGTCTGGGAGTGTCTTGGGAGTACAGAAAAAATAGTAAAAAAATCAAAGGGTATTAAAAACTCAGATATTTGCAAAAAACTAGATCAGAAGGATGGCAACAATGTTTTTCAAGGTAATCTGCCTACTTAACATTTCGTCAATACCTGTTTCTTCGTAATTATTAAAAACTCCGGTAACCATGGATAAACATGAAGCAAAGAAAATAATAAAGACAATAACAGCGTTGAGGTTAGAATAACGGTGTCACCTTGCGGTCAGTGCTGCGACAAAACAGCCTCCGAGTGCTGCCATCTTTTCGGGGCAATATTTGCAGGTGCAAAAACATCATTGCCGCTTTGACTTTTGATCAAAAAATTGTAGAAGAGTACTTTATTAATATCAAAAATTTTCATAATTTGACAAAAAAACAGTAATTTTTCTTTTGAATTCTTAAGTATTCCAATAGGCTACCAATCAAACGTGGGACCTTTTCAAAATATTGCTTAATAGCAAAGTTGATTCGATTTTCAACTGTTAATATCTTCTTGAAATTTTAAGTGGGCCCCTATATATTAAAAGGAATGACACAAATTTTGAATCACCTTTTATATACCCTTTCAACCATGCTAACACAAACTGAATTTAGTAGTTAATTAGCCCCAAAGTTTATCCAGCTATTTGAGGATTTTTCACCCAAATTGTTTAGTATGTTTCTGTATTATTTAGTTAATTTTAGTGCGATTGCTTCTCTTTGTATCTAGTAAGGCAATGTAATCTCGAAAACTGCTTAAAATCACCTACATAACTCCAATCACGACAATTATTTACCAAAGGATAACAACGTCATAGTTAAAACTTGAGAACAACACAAGAACAAGCGTTCGTTTTTGTCGTTGTTTATTTTGGATAAAAAAAAAACATTATTTTGGAATATCTTAATTTTTGTAATCGTAGAATACAAATTTTTGCAGGTGTACTTCAACTTCTCCAGAACAGAACGTCGCGTAGATTTTTACAGTCGCGGCTTACCCCAGAGATGGAAAGGAAATTAGTGTTTTTAACGTCTCAAGTCCGATTTGGAAACCATAAGCGATATCAGGATTGGTTTCAGAGACAGTATCTCGCCACGCCGGAGTCTCAGTCACTAAGATGTGATATTATCAGGTTTGTCTTTTAACTGTTTAAATACAGCATGGTTATAGATGTCGCTATTGCCGTGATTCTCAGCTGGACCTGGGTAACACTGATATGAACGACACTGTCGCAGCGCTTCGGCACACAAACCGTAATTGGCAAGCTAGATTTTGAAGACAAGTTTGTGTCGCCACCTATGGTCGATGCGCGAAACTTGGAATGTTTGGAATGCTACTAATTTATCCGAGAATTGTTTTCTAATGATTGGTTTCATCAAGACTTACCAGGCCGAAAACTGCAAGTTTGACAAACGGTTATCAGCCTGATAAATATATCATGTCAATAAAAGTAGACGCCTGTATTCTGCAACACGGCATGGTGGTGCCATCTAAGACATAGAACAGCATTTCACTCAGCAGCAATGCGCTTTGATGGTGCCATTCGACCAGTTTCAGTCTTACCCAGGTCTATTTTAAGCCACTGTGCCACGGCACTTTGGCGCGCCGCAAAATTCTTAAAGTGTGCCACCAAATTTTATAGATGTACATATGTAGTAAAAATTATAATACATTTTAATAAAGAGTAAAGTTTCAATGAAAAAAAACTTATATACAGGGTGGTTTTTTAGTGCGATGAGTTCATTATTTCCGATGGTGTTGAACTTTCGAAAAATAGTTTCATATAAAGTTGTTGACGCACAAAGTGTGCACATTTTAAAAATATCTTACATGATACCTCAGAAAAGCGAGGCAAAATCAAAGTGTATTTTTTTAAAATATAACCACCTATTTTTTATTACCTCGTGGAATGCAGCTTGAAACGCTGCATATGCACCGTAAATCGTTTTCTTCTTACTTGCGACGTTGGAAGATTATCGCCATTTTAGTAAAATTCTGCTTAAAATCATGGTATCTAAAAATTCATTGTAGAAGCAAGAAAAGCAGTTAAAGATGCAAAAAATACGTCTTTCCAATCACCACAGATCTGTTAAGAATTTCATTGAACCAAAATATCAATACATTGTACAGGGTGTTAACAATGTGAACTTCAATCTGAAAGTTTTTATCGCAATATAACTTGTTTTTCAAATGGAAGTACCTCTATATATTAATACGTCATTAGATAGACAATTTACAAAGTTACAAATTTACACTTTAAGCTGTGAAATCAACCGTTTTCAAATTATAATTTATTTTATTTAAAAATTTCAAAAAGTTGCTACATTTTGTAAGGTGTGTAACACTATACGCGGTAGATGAGTTTCGTCCATCCTCTTTACGTGACTGTACAAGTTCTTTGTCTTCCCTATCGCACCACGTCCTGCACTCCACACTGTTCCCAGATATCCGTGTTTCTCACCCTGTTTCTCCTGGTTTTTCCCACGATCGTTCTTCATTCAGAGTCTTCATCTCTGCTGCTCGCAGCATACACTTTGTTTTATTTGTTTCTTCTCGTATCTCTATGCCGTATGTCATAATGGGTCTCACGCATGTTTTGTATATTTTTACTTTGCTCTCTGTTCGCATGTACATATTGATTTGCCCATGCGATTTCCCTAAGGCATCCTGATACTGCCGCAGCTTTATTGATTTGGCTTCTTAGGTCCTTTACTGTGTCATGACTACTTGACAGGTCTGCACCAAGGTATTTAAATTGTAATACTTGTTCTGTAATTTTGTCTTCGATAGCAAGTTTACATCGAACAGGTTCCCTGGCGATTGTCATACTATTTGTTTTGTTAATAGAGATTCAGCCCTGTGCTGTATCACTCACGTTAACTTTAACGTGCATGTTACCCGTCAAACACGTTATGTGGCTCCAACTGGTGTGTTGTATCAGTAAAACGTTTATATTATAACAGGCGCACGCTATCGACGAACGTTATATTAAGAAATAGCGCTTCAGAATAACAGCATCAAATCACATGCCGCTATCGAACTTAACGTGCGTCCCTCGAAGTCAAGCTCGGAGGAATAAATAAAACAATTTTGTTTAATCAGAGCGTAATTTTATGTTTTAGCTATAATTAGTTTTTAATTTAAAACGAAAATATATCTTTTGGTGGTTTCATAAGGTTAGCTTTATTAGAACAATTAGTAAATGGTCTTGAAAATAAACTTTACTTTCGTCCACAAACTCTACTAAATTTTCAAGTTGTTTGCGGGTTGTTTTTTTTTCTGCTTCTGTACATGCTCCATTGAAAGTGTTTGAGAAGATAGGTCAAGAACAATAACGAACGAAATTGAAAGTGAATGCAAATCATAAACAAAGACAAATAGGGTAGTAGGTGGTCCAACTGGTCACAACGTGCACATGTGGTGGCGGTGCATATGTTTTAGAAGCTTCGATGGTTTGATGTTAACTCTCTCTCTAACTAATAGACTATTCGTATAAGGGCATCTCACTTTATGCATCC